GACCAATGGCAGGCTAAGAACCCCCCTCCTCCCCCTGTCCCCACTCATAAACTTCCCCAGTTGTGGGGGGAGGGGGGTGTGTGTGCTCCAGAGCCGCTGAGCTGGAGCCGGCGACACTTACCCAGGTAGATGTCTCCGAAGGACCCACTCCCGATCTTCCGGCCCAGGCGGTACTTATTCCCCACGCGGAGCTCCATGGTTCACTCGCACTGTGGAGGGAAGCAGAAGCACTGGGTTCAGGGAGCAGGCCAAGCCCCAGGAACTGGGAGACCAGCATTCTCCCTCCCACTGCCCAGGAAGGCGATCTGGCCTCGCTTGGCCTGAGACAGCCAGGTGTCAGGTGGCCCGAGAGCCTCCAGGTGTGGGCAGGGGCGGAGGCAGGCTTGGCAGAGGTGTCAGCTGGGCCAGGCAAAAGGTGGAATTGGAGACAAGGCCAGGGAGCAAACGTTGGGGGGCCCTCATTCAGGGACCCTCCAATGGGAGCCCCTCTGGGGCAGGCCAGTCATGAGCCAAGACCCTAAAAGGAAAACCAAGGACAAAGGGGGTGAAGGGGAAGGGAGATGCAGGAGCTGATCGTCCAGGTGGTGCTACCATGGCAACCACCAGCAAGTTCCAACCTCCAGGGATGGGAAGACACTTGCACAGAGGGTCCCTAAGCTCCTCAGCCCCTCCAGGGCTCAGAAATCACGGCTGTCCCGGCCCCATCCCCACCCCAGGCTTCCCATGCCAAGAACCAGAGGCCGGGCCTCCACAGTGGCCTGGTATTCCCAGAGGCCAGACCTTGCCAGTCGACAGTGTGCCCGCAGGAGGGACCCCTCCCTCTGTGGTCTCCTTCTCGCCACCTCACAACCCCGGGAACCTCCCACACAGGCTGCTCCACACCCATTTCTCTGGATGGACTGTTTGGGACTGGACTTCCTCCGGACCGGGACCCTCAGGAGGGTGTTCTAAGAGGGCAACTGAACAAGTGGAGGGACCAGAGCCAGGTTTTTGGCCTCCAGTCTGAGCTTCTGTGGTGTGTGTGGGGGCGGGGGGGAGGGGGGAGCAGCTGGGAGAGGGGTACTGATTAACAGCTTGCCTACATCCTATGTCCCAACCCGGGTGTCCAAGCCTGTGGGACATCAGGGTCCCTGGTGGACACCCCCTGCTCTGGCCTGGAGCGCTTGGGCCCTGGCCAGGGCAGGAGGAAACCCCACAGCTGGGAGGCGGTTTCTGCTGTGGGGGGAGAGGAAATGGTAGACTATGAAACTGGGAGAGGAGTAGGGGACCCCTAGATCTCGCTGTGTCTACAAGAGAGCCAGCGTACAAGACTGTCAAGAGGGGCCTTCAGCCTGGCCGGTGTGGCCAGTTGGTTGAGCACCGTCCAGTACACTGAAAGGTCGCTGGTTCAATTCCTGGTCAGGGCACATGCCCGGGTTGTGAGTTCCATTCTAAGTTCTCTCTCACATCAATGTTTGTCTCTGTCTCTCCCTCCCTTCCTCTCTCTAAAAACAAAACAAAACAAAAAAAACACAGGGGCCTTCGTCTGCAGCCCGGGAACTCAGGCCCGGAGAGGCCATGCCCTGTCCACCCAGCCCACAGGGGCAAGTTAGTGCAGTCGTCTCACCCACCACCAACACAGGGTTCTTGCCTCCCCACCTGGCGGCCTCGCACCCCCACAAACAGGACTTAATTCATGCCAGGACCAGCAGCTGTGCCAGGCAGAGGTTCTGCCCCTTCCCCAGGCCAAGTGCTAGCCTCCTCCAAAGCCAGACACCCCTGGAAGGGAGAAGGGAGATATCTAGCCCACAGATGGCCAGGCTGCGCTCTCTCCCCGGCAGGGGCAAGGTGCCCGGGAGACATCCAGCCCCAGCACCTGGCTCCCAGGGAGCCACCACCAGCCCTTCCCCAGTGGCCACAGGAAGCATCTCCACCCCAGAGCTGGCTAAACTCGGCTCTTAACCACGGGCCTCTGCGCACACGCCTGGCCGGTCCCAGCTGAGGTGCCAGGCTGCCAGCTCACACGCTCCATCCACATCTGCAGGAAACCCACAGGCCACGCATCCACACCGTCCCGTGTGTACGCTCCAGGAAAGAAGGAAAGCAGGCAGCCACCAGGAGCCCCGCTGGGGGAGGGGGTGCGGGCCTCCACACACAGGGCCCCCCCTCCCCACGTCTGTGCTCCACCAACGCCAATTCAGAGACCACACACGGCAGCCGGGAAAGCCGCGGGTTCGGAAAAGGAACATAAATACACCCGCATCCTATATTACATAAATACCCACGCCAGGTTATATAAATACCCATGCCCTCCGTCTGGGTGTCTTACATAAATATACACACATGACCCCCCAACCCTCCCCACTCACGGGGCTGCCGGCAGGGAAGGGGAGGCAATAAGGTGCAAACCATCGACCCTGCTCTGCTGGCCACCCAGACCCCAGCCAGAGCCTGGACTGTCCCAGCCCC